TTGGGGAGCTGGCCTGGGGCAGGTGGGGCAGGTGTTAATGAGCATGCCTGGGACTCCATCCCTTGCCTGGCAGAGGAGGCCAGGAGCTGTCTACTGTCTCCTAAGTAATGGCACAGACACTGCTATGGTTTGAGGTTTGTCCCCTCCAAATCTCATGTTGAAACGTGATCCCCAGTGTTGGAGGTGGGGCCTGGTGGGGGATGCTGGGGTCGAGGGGAGACCCGTCATGAATGTCTTGGTACGGTCCTCCTGGTCATGAATGAGTTCTTGCTCTGTGTCTTACAAGTGACAGCTGATTGTTAGGAAGAGCCTGGCCCCTCCCACCGCCTCTCCCTCCACGTGATCTCTGCACAGGCAGCTTCGCCTCAGCCACGACTGAAGCTTCCTGAGGCCTCGCCAGGTGCAGATGCTGGTGCCACACTCCCTGTATGGCCCGCAGAGTCATGGCTGAGCAAACCCTTCTCCTTTATAAATCGCCCAACCTCGGGAGTTTCTTTCTAGCAGCACACACGGACTGAGCCGGGTGACACAAAGCAGCTGTTCCCAGCTCCTCCCGCGTGTGGTGTGTGGAGGGTCGTGAGTGGGCACAGGCAACCACCCACTGTTGGCATCATCAGCCCGCAGGTCCCGCAGGCGGGTCCTGGCACAGACACGTCCCCTGCACCTTCATTTGCATTTGTTTATAATTATGTGAAATGTAGAAAATAACTTATTTGTGCACAGCTCCGACTTCCAAACAAAACCTACTCCAGCTTTTTGGAAGCTTCCGCATTTGGGGATGATATTAACCAAGTGACCACAGACGAGTGAGGCCCTGTCCTTCTCTTTCACCTAGACACTGGTCAGGAGCCTGAGGAGTGACAAAGGGAAAAAATTCCTACAGCAACATCACCCCCTACTTTCCTCAGTTTAAAAATACAGTGCTGGGCCGGGCACAGTGGCTCACCTCCGTAACCCCAGCACTTTGGGAGGCTGAGGTGGGCAGATCATGAGGTCAGGAGTTCAAGACCACTCTGGCTAACATAATGAAACCTTGTCTCTACTAAAAATACAAAAATTAGCTGGGCGTGGTGGTGAGTGTCTGTAGCCCCAGCTACTCAGGAGGCTGAGGAAGGAGAATCGCTGAACCCAGGAGGCCGAGGTTGCAGTGAGCCGAGATCACACCGCTGCACTCCAGCCTGGTGACAGAGCGAGATTTTGTCTCAAAAAAAGAAGAAAAAAATACAGTGCTCACCACAGAATCTCACTTTCAATTCTTCGTGGAGACCTACTTCTTGTGCTTATGGCAATCTCATTTATGATATGACTCTGCCAGTATTTTAAATACATGTCTAACTTCCCTTATAAAGACATTCCCATTCCTACATAGATCGGTGGTTTTATCTCCTAGTGTCTAGGATTCTGTTTTGATGATTTTACGGGGTTTGCTTACAGTAGCAACTCAGCAAACTGCCTGACGATATTTAAAAACTTCTTCCTTCTTGATTTTCATTTTAAATCAAACAAACACAATAATCCACAAAACCCAAATTAAAATCAATGCCCTTAACACATCTGGCAAGAAGGATGCTATTTCTGCTGTGAAAAGATTTGATATACATAACAGGATGATTAGAAAGTTAAAAATATTATATTATGTGAGGCTATTTGGTTTGCTAAGATGGGGTAAGATAGTTTATTAGAATAATTTTCTTCAGTTTTTTTCACACATCCCGTCAGAGGAGCAGGAGAGCCGTCCAGCGTGAGATGTTTGAAGGGGTGTTGGCAAGAACATCAGATGGATGACGGGGAGGAGAGTGGGCCAGCCGCGTGGTCAGAAGCGGATGAGGGATGGGTCTTTGCTGTCGCTAACATTCACAAATCTATCATTCTGGATGCACAGATTAAAATTATTCACTAAGCAAGAATGCCGTTGAACTGTACCTTATACAATTCCTGGAGTCAGTAGAAAAATGCCAGGCTGATATATCTGTGCACTAAGAGACATATAACCCTGCCTCCATCGATCACAGCCCCGCCCTTTACGGACTCCACGCTTGGAGCTGGCTGTGAATAACCTGAACGCATGCACGGCCTCTTGCCAAGCTCCTGCCCGTGGCTGTGGGATGCGTTCTTGCCAGTGACTGCGTCTTTGCCAGCACACCCGAGTTTACTGCACTGAAGCTACTGTGCGATACAGCGACTCTGCACCTCCCACGAGTGCCTGTGTTCACCTCCACCCAGATCTTTAAAGTGACATATCAAATACTGTTCCCCCATTTCTTGTTCCTTTCAAGCTGCACTGGAATTGATGCTTGGAACGCCTGGTGGCGTTTCATATTTATGTAACTGATCCCATAGGCAGTGCAGGTGAATCTATGAGCAGTCACTTACGGAGTCCCTGCTGTACGTGAGGCTCTTGGGAAGGACTTACGGACATGCCAAAGTACTGGTGACGATAATGGTGTGACGAGCACATCTTTACTTCTGTTTTATAGAGGTAAACCATGGTACAGAATCTCATGTTATTAAAAAAAAAAGTCTCAAAAAAGTAGTGGTCTAGAATCCCAGCTTTCTCCCTCACAGAACACACGTGGTCACGTCCCCTGTCCAATTCCCAGCCCCACTGTGGTTTCCTCTAGCATTCAGTGCATTTTCTGTGTGTTGTTTTCAAAAAAACACCATTTAGTATTGTAGGCTGGAAACTTGCATCAAATGCTTTCATGCCTGTGATCTGAATCAGAGCAAAATATCCCTGGGCACTGTCCCCGAAGAGTTAATTATTGGGGTCCCCACCGCGTGCGGTCTGCAGGCATTTTTCCATATTGGCGGGCACCATTCCCTGAAGACAGACCGTCCTGTGATGCTTCCTTGATGTTGCTTTCTCCCTCCAAGTCAAAATGTCTGTCTCTAATTCCTATACCGATTTTCTTTCTTTTAAGAAACCAACAAAACCAGTATCAAAAACAGCTCTTCACCCTCATCTTCCGAAAGCCTGGGAACCAACTCTCTGCCATGATTTCCTGCTTGGACCTTGATGATCGCTGATGGGGCCTTCGGGATGGGCTCCTGTTTGCAGACTCTCAGTGGTCTGCACCCCTGTCCATCTGCTGTGGGCCTGTAGCTGGGAAATTCACCCCCTGGTTGACCAGGGGAAGGTGCAATCCCCTGTGGGATTGGGAAGTGGCTCCCAGGGCTCAGGCATTGGGTGCTGCCCCAGCACGTGGTATGGCAGCTATCCACTGTGTGCAGGGCCACTGAGATGCCAAGAGGTCAGCATCGGTCTCTTCTCATCTCAGTGCCAGCCGTGATCAAGAATGATACATTTCCTCAGGGGATGTGACCACTGTGAATGGAGCCAGGCCTCTTCTCTCGGTTGGTCAACAGCACCTTCACTTTGGGCAGGTGGGGGCACAGGCAGGAGCCTGAATGTGCAGGTGCACCCAGGCCAGAGAATGGGGCATTCTCCCGGAACTTAAATCTTGATAATGAAGCACATCTCCACCCCTGAGGCTGCCCCAGGAGCCCTGCCTCACCTGCGGGCACCCAGCGGGGTCTGTGATGAGCCTGCTCTGAAATGAAGGGAGGAACCGCATCCTGTGTGTCACCCCAGGGGAAGGGCAGGGCAGGGGCGGCCTCCACCCTCCTCAACCAAACTCTCATTAGATGTTCCTGCTTGGTCTTGGAGAGTAACAAGCCAGCCAATTACTGTCTCTAGTGTAAGCATCACCTTTCAATCACCAGCCTGCGAGCTGTGACTCCAGCATCGCCTCCTGTGAGTGCCCCTGGGAATGCAGGGCCACGATGCCACCACCGTGGGGCTGTTTAGGGCCTCAAGGTCACGCCAGTTCCTGACTCCGGGATGCCTCCCACAGCTGAGCGGTGGGTTCTTGCCTTTGCCACAAAATATGCTGCCCTCAGGAACACCAAGATGAGTAACGATGTCTGAGCATAATATTTCCAAAACTACGTTCTAAAGGACACTACAGTTAGAGGTTTAGAAGGAGTTTAGGAAAGACCTCATGCATATTCCATTTCCTGCCCGAATAACATCAGTGTGTGAAATGCCCAGCAAGTCCTGTGCCTAAGAGAAGCATCCGCCCTCTGCCTCCATCAGGGCATGGGACCCTCATGGCTCCAAGGAAGGCCAGTCCGTGTCCACCACACACGCAGTCTGAGAAGTGATTTTTAACACAATTGTTTATGAGTATTTTTGTAAATAACGTTCTGATGACCAAAACCATGACTAAAGGATTTTAATTATCTGATGGATACACAGGATGAAGAGACTGAGTTTTGATGACTTTGATGGGAGAGAGAGAGGGAAAGAGACTGATTTAGTTTCTAAGGGGACAGACACTAGTGTTAAGAAGGATTAGAAGGCAATTTTCCTGCACTGAAATCTTTTTTTCTTTTTTGGAAATAGAGTTTTGCTCTGTTGCCCAGGCTGGAGTGCAGTGGCACGATCTTGGCTCACTGCAACCTCTGCCTCTGAGGTTCAAGCGATTCTCCTGCCTCAACCTCCTGAGCAGCTGGGACTACAGGTGCCCGTCACATGCCTGGCTAATTTTTGTGTTTTTAGTTTCACCATGGTTTCACCATGTTGGCCAGGATGGTCTGAAACTCCTGACCTCAGGTGATCTGCCCGCCTCGGCCTCCCAAAGTGCTGGGATCACAGGTGTGAGCCACCGTGTGCGGCCTCCTGCCCTGAAATCTAAAGGCCAGAACAACCCAGAGGCTTTCTGCATTTCCACATTTGCGTTCCGATGTCCATTCCCGGCTGAGCAGTCCACATTTTTGCTTCCTCCTACTACGCGTCCTTCCCGGATGCTCCTGAAGCCACCTCCTCAGCAGATGAGCCCCGTGTTAGTTGGCAGAGCTGATGGCATTGCACATTTTACCACGTGGCCTCATTTCCAGATGCTGCTACCGATGCCCGTGTCCAGGCTCCCTGCCCACGCGTCAGCCCCATCACTGAGAGGGAAGTGGTGGAAGAGGCATCCGGATCTGGAAAGACTGACCGAGCCAGCACCAGACACCACCCCGCAGGGCACGTCTCCCCAGCCCGGGGCGCCCGAACAGGATCTCAGTAACAGGCGACACCCTCTGGCTCCTGCTGTCATCCATCGTGGCGAGGGGGTTCCCGTGGTTACGCGTGCTGGGATTCTGTTGACGCGGACCTCAGAGCTTGTCTCCTCCCGCTGATCAAGTGTGAGAAGTCCTGGAGAATCCATCGCAGCCGCTCACAAAATCTTCAGGCCAGAGTCAGTGTGATTCACAGAGAAATAAAATGAGCATCTGGCAAACCTTCGTGCTGGTGCAGCTACGTTCTTGGTCAACACAATATTCCGAGGAGATACTGAGCTCTGCTTCCCCAGATTAAATGTATCTCGTTCTTAGATGTGCTTGGGTACTTAATGGCTTCTGCGAATGACAGCCTCAGCGCTGCAAAGTAATTCCACGCTGTCATATTTGTCTTTGGAAATTGTAACAAATTATGGTGATTTATAACATCAAACTCAACTCCCATTTTCCCCCAGACGGCAATGTCGCTGATGGCGAGATTCGGGGCCATCCATTTATCCTGGGTGGAAGCTGACAGTGACACATGCTTCATCTGCTGCTGAGGCTCGGGGTTCCCTTGGGGGGCTCTGCCGACATAACTCACGCCGTCCCAGTGCCTGGCACCTCCGCTTACCTGCGGCCTCCTGTGGAACTGGGACTTCTCAGCGGCCGCCGGAGGAGCTGTGCAGGCCCTGGGCCTCCTGGCCTCAACTCTGCCCCTGAAAGTTCACAGAAGTTGAGAGTTGTTCTGCTGAGGTGCAGGCTGGGGTGTGGTCAGGGCCTGTCTGGGAGTGCAGCTCTCTCCCGCCCCAGTCTTTTCCTTTCATTTGAAAGGGAGGCGAGCGTCAAACCTCTCTTCCATGGTTTCACAGATGACTTGGAATCCTGGCCTTTTAGGGTAGACAGAGAACACGGAGATCCTGGCCCAGCAACCAGCCCCCCAGAAACATGAGCAGTGGCTGGAGAGTGCCCGGGGTCCCTCACAATGAGAAGAGAAAGAGACCAGGCCCCCCTCTCGCTCTCTGCCACGTGGGGACACAGGAAGCGCCATCTACAAGCCTGGAAGGGTCCTCACAGCAGTTCTCATGGACACACCTTGGTCGTCAATTTCCAGCCATCAGAACTGAGAAATAAACATTTACTGTTTGAACCACCAAATCGATCGTATTTTGTGATAGCAGCTGAGTGCGCCACGACGCCTGACTCCTGGCACCACGTCGCCCAAACACCTGAGGCGCCTCCAAGGTGGCACCCCCCGACGACACTGACGACCGGGGGGTGGGGGGGTCTGCACCGACGCCTCCACTGCTCACCTCACCTGTGGCATCCAGCCCCGGACAGTGGCCGCCTCCTCGCAGATTCCTCACCGCTCTAGAACCTAGCTTATGGGTTTATGTTCTAAATGCTGTAAGTGTGACTCTGGCTCTAGACAAGCAAAATGGTCCCAAGCAAAATGAGAAGATAAAAATTGCTTTTTTTCAATGGAGAAATGTTCCCTATTTAATAAATGGTGTTGGGAAAACTGGCTAGCCATACGCAGAAACTGAACCTGGACCCCTTCCTTACACCTTATGCAAAAATTAACTCAAGATGGATTTAAGACTACAACATAAGACCTAAAACCATAAAAGTCCTAGAAGAGGACCTAGACAACACCATTCAGGACATCAGCATAGGCAAAGGCTTCATGACTAAAACACCAAAAGCAATGACAACAAAAGCTGAAATTGACAAGTGGGATCTAATTAAACTAAAGCACTTCTGTACAGCAAAAGAAACAGTCATTAGAGTGAGCCAGCAACCAACAGAATGGGAGAAAACTTTTGCAGTCTATCCTTCAGACAAAGGGCTAATATCCAGAATCTACAAAGAACTTAAACAAATTTACAAGAAAAAAGACAAACAACCTCATCAAAAACTGGACAAAGGATATGAACCAACAAACATTTGAAAAAAAGCTCATCATCACTGGTCATTAGAAATGAAAATCAAAACCATAATGAGATACCATCTCATACTGGCTAGAATGGCAATTATTAAAAAGTCAGGGAACAACAGATGCTGGAGAGGATGTGGAGAAATAGGAACACTTTTACACTGTTGGTGGGAGTGTAAATTAGTTCAACCATTGTGCAAGACAGTGTGGTGATTCCTCGAGGATCTAGAACCAGAAATTCCATTTGACCCAGCAATCCCATTACTGGGTATATACCCAAAGAATTTAAATCATTCTGCTATAAAGACACATGCACATGTATGTTTCTTTCAGCACTGTTTACAATAGCAAATACATAGAACCTACCCAAATGCCCATCTCTGATAGGCTACATAAAGAGAACATGGTACATGTGTACCATGGAATACTATGCAGCCATGAAAAGGAAGAAGATCATGCCCTTTGTGGGGACATGAATGAGATCACGTATCCTCAGCAAACTAATTCGGGAACAGAAAACCAAATACCGCATGTCCTCACTCATAAGTGGGAGCTGAACAATGAGAACAAATGGACACAGGGAGGGAAACATCACATACAGGCCTGTCTCGGGTAGGGGGCTAGGGGAGGGAGAGCATTAGGACAAATACTTAATGCGTGCAGGGCTTAAAACCTAGACGACAGGTTGACAGGTGCAGGAAAGCCTCACGGCACACGCACACCTGTGTAACACACCTGCACCTTCTGCACATGTATCCTCGAACTTAAAGTAAAAAAGAAAAAAAAAAAAGCTTTTTTTTTTTTTTTTTTTTAAAAGGGAAAGATTGGAACTCTAAGCAGTAGCTCCTTCTAGAGCAGGGTGGTTACGGGCTCCAGTCCCAGGAGCGCTCCTGCAGGGCTGGATGTGCTGCACGTGTCCTGAGCCCCCGGCCGCCTCACTTCCTTTCGCCTCTCGAGGCCAACGCCATGTTCTTGCGTGCGTCCAAGGAGCCTGGCAGTCTCTGCGTTTGTGGCTGTGGCCACGGGGGTCACAGGCCTCTGGGAAGGAGGGAGCCCGCAGGTCTGTGCCGACTGGTGGGTGTCCCACAGGGGGCTTGATCTGGGACTGGCCAGACTGTGAAGCCCCTTCCAGAGCCCAAGCTGGAGGGGTCTCCTCTGATCCCTCCTTCGCCCTCTCCTCAATTTGCATTAGACGCAGGGGACCCAGGCGTGAAACAGGACGTCCCCGAGCATCGGATAGAGGAGAGAGGAGCAGGCAGCTGCGGCACAGCCCAGCGTGAGTTATCTCAGAGGACCACGCGGCCCCGGAGGACATGCCGGATGCACGCCTGGCTCTGACCTGCAGGAAGAGTGAGAGGAGTGGAGGCCGCAGGGCACTTGGAGGACGGGCATCGTTGGTGGATGGGGAGTGCTCTGCCCGCGGACGTGGGCTGGGTGAGGGCATAGGAGACTGAGGCCAGGCATGCTGGGGGGCTCCAGGTCCTTTAGTGCCACCGGAGCATGTCACACAACATTGGGGCCGTGGGAGTTGAAGCCGGGAACTCAGAAGAAATCAGGGCAGGACAAGCCTCTGCTGCCCACGCCGCCCGCCCCGGCTGCTATACGCAGTAGACACTGGCTCTGCGCCTGGAGGGAGCATGAGCGGCTCTGCCTGCCAAAGTTTGCACTGCACGGCGTGCCCTACCCGCCCTCACCGAGGCCTCTGCCACGCTGCGTGTCTCAGAGGGTGCAGATGCCATTCTCACGACAGACGAGGAGTCCTAGGCCAGAGGGGGCAGAGACCTGCCTGTTCCACGCAGCATGAACGTCAGCCCTGGGATGTGAGTCTCTGCGTCCTGAAGCCAGAGTTTCCTCTAGGAGACTGGAGCTGGGGGGAGGCAAGGGCAGAGCGGGTGTAACAGAAACTCCAGGGGCAGCACTCCGGGTTCAAAGCCGACCTCAGGATGTAGCTGCTCTGGGACTATGCACCTCACTTAACATTTCCTGAACTCTTTGTCTTTTAATGTTTTTAATTTTTTTGTCCAACAGTGCAACAGGGATGCCACCCACTTCCTCACAAGCATGAAGGGGCACAGGGTCCTTCTCCGCCTAAGCCTTGTGGATGTTGAGCGCTCACTCCGCAGCAGCTGGTGCTGTTTCCCTACGCCATGGTCTGGCCTGAAGCAAACCCATCGGCCTCTGCTGTGTGGCCGGCTCCTGAGGCTACAGAAATGGGACACTGGGCCTGTGCGCACTGAAGTGTAAGTCACCTCTGCAGGACTAGGCTAGCTAGGGCACCCTCGTGTCCCTAAAATAGGAAACGAAACACAAGTGGCAAGGCAGAGGGTGCGCCGGAAACGAGGGAGGCCCCCTGCGGTGCCCGGAACCCTGACATTGCCCAGGAGAGCGAGTTACTGCCTCCGCTTCTTGAGGGAATTTAAAGTGCCACACTCCTGTTTGACAATTCCGCTTTTGTTTACAGGGGCTGGATCAAACGTATATTTTACGTGATAAGTGGGAAGTGTCAAAATGAGCCACACATAAAGTGGTGACAAAAGAAATCATTTCAATAAAATTACATAATGTACAACAAAATCACAGAAACAGCCCCCATTAAGTATGATTTGCATGCAACATAACATTATACAATTTTTGACACTCTGCAGAGAGGTATTGGGTCGGAAGTAGCTACGCTTAGAAAGCAATTTGCAGAATTTCTGTTCCTTTAGTGGTTTGAAAGCAGCGATAATTATTTTGGTGGCTGACAGGTGAACAAAAACCAATAATTGAATAGTACCGTTTTACCCAGAAGGCAAGCTGATAATTAGAGGTGTAACAGACAGTGTGGGTTTTGTCTGAATAGTGGCGGCTCTGACTTGTTTCTAAAATCTGGGAACCAAGTCGAGGCCCTGACTCTCAGCACTACCAGAAGAAAGCAGGATTTATTTGCAGTTCCTTGTTCTTGGCTGACACGTGTGCTCTGGTCCCTAAAGGGCAGCCTGGGGTTCCCGAGCCGAGCACGTCCACATCTGACTTGGGAAATGAAGAGGGTTTCTTGGTGGCCAACACGGTCAGGAGGAGAATGCAAAGAAACTGTCTGTGCCACTGAGGGTACGCCAAGCAACAGCCCCTGCCTCCTGGCACGGCT